TGCGTTTAGAGCAAGAGTTAACGTCTGTGCTTCCTCATAAATCTCAGTGGTGCCTGGAGCTATGTTTTTAATTCTGTGGCGGAGCTTTGAGATTTGAGGAGAGTAGAAAGGAGGGGCTGCTGACTGAGGGAATAATGGCCACCACCATTTCTCCTTCTGAGGAGCAACACATTCTCCCTCAATTCTGCTCACAGGTTGTTCAGGGCTTAGCAGAGAATCTAGGAAGGCCAGGATAGAAGACAAGCAGGGAGTCAAGGACAAGGAAGCTGGCTATGTGGCCCCACACAGAGAGATGCATGGCTTCTCTCTCAAAAAGGAAGAATGTGTGGAATGAGCAAATTGACCCAGACTCATAACCGGCTGGCGCATTTTCTAGTTCAACTAAAAATGGCTTCAAGGAGAAGTGTCCTTCCTGACAGAAATAATTTCTTGCCTCACAAAGCTTGTTATTGAAGAAAGTTTTCCATCTATTCAACTTGTAGCTGTTTTTTCTGGTGTTGAACCATGCTTGGGTCCTTTGCCACTTGTTCAAGTAGTTCCTTCTGGGTCAACCTTACCTCCACAGTGTGCCTTCACTTCTTAGGTGCACAAGGCAAACCTTCCACTGGTTTCTTACAGGGGTTAATAAAGTGTAATTGCTTAGTCCTCTATACTGCCAACAACTGTGCTTTAGAATTCTATGTCTGAGTCATTGAGTAGAACGTGTAATTAACATAACTCAAAGCAGTACTGTGTATATGTGTGTGTGTGTGTAAAAGAATTAACATCTGGCTCCCAAGAGGCCTTCCAAGTCAGACAGACAATCTAGGACCCTAAAAATTTCTATTATAAGCCTTTTTATTCTTCTAAGGTCTTAAGGAACCCTTCCTCTACTATTACTTCTTTCTGGGAGGTTTGGAAATTTACCGGAAGTGAAGAATGTATCCCTCTTCCTACTTCCACCACTGTGAAAATTAAAGCCAGGTACAGCTGATTTCCTTGAAGACAGAAAATGGGAATAAAATAATTTGTAACTTGATCTTTTACCTCTGCGATGAGACTGGAAGCTTTCTACCTGTACCCATTTGCAGTCTGAGAAGGAGATGATAGGGTGGCAGAAACCTTCTGATTATGGATGTCTGCAGTACTGACTGCAGGGCTGAGTCTCCTCATTTCCCTACCACAACAATACAATGAACTGAGAATCTTCTAAGTAAATGGTGGCACTAAAAACAAAGGATTTAGGGGTATTTTAGGGAGCCACGTCTCAGGTGACTTAGATTATTTTTGTCCTTTTACAAAAGCTAATAAAGGAACTATGCTTATTGAGTCTGATGAAAAGAGAATTGACAGGCTGGGTTAAGTTTTCCAAATTGAAGTCCTGTGTGAAGGATTTAAGTTTAGGAAATCATATACACCAGGATGTTAGTGGAAAGTAGAGGCTGAAAACGTAAGAAGTTTCTCAGCACTCAGAATTAGGTGGAAGAAGTGGGGTCAATAGCTGTGGATATGCAAAGCATAGCCCGATACCTACCCTGTGCTAGAGATTTGCTCCTCTGGTTTTATTTGGGTCCAGCAGTCCTGTGCTTCTCCTCTTCCCTGGCTTCCATTTTGCTAGCAGTTCTGGATTTGGTAATCTATTTAAGTGTGGTCATGTTCTTTATTTCTTCTAACTACAATTGTGTCTGCTAACTTAGCACAAAAAGTTACTTTCTATGTTAAATAAAATATAAAGTCTTTAAAAGTACGTAGTAGGAATTAAGTTTCATACTCCACACTCAATATTAGCTAGCCAGGCAGGGTCTTACAGCATGCAGTACATTTTGCCATGCATTTTGTTGTTGTTGTTGTTCCTTAAAAAAAATTTGTTACCTAAAGATTAGAAAGGTGGTATGAAATGCCCTAGGATATGGAGCTAATGAATGTAGTGGTTTACTCCCAAAGTAAAATTTCACAAAGAAAGCTACCAGTTCTTTCACTGCTTAATAATTTGGTGTGAGACTATATCCCAACTTTAATTAACCCTACTCCAGCAACTCAGTGAGAAGGACCCAGAATTCTTTCCTTGGTAACATGACTTGTTTTGTAATTCTTCCTTTCACTTCCAGTGCTGCCTTATTTTCCTATAATCTCACATTGCTAATATTGATATATAAAAATCTGCAGTTTCTGTTGAGACAGTGCCTTTGTGATGTTTAGCTAGGATCCCTGAGCAAAGGTTTTGCCAATAATTTATTGCAAGCTTCTCAGGACAATTTAGCAGTTTGTCTTTTGGAAATAAGGTGGTGTTGTGTAAGAATAGGACCTTAATTTTTAACCTCTTTGGTGGGTCAAGCCCAGAATAGTGAAATGAGCCCTGAGGGCGGTCTCAGGAGATCAGAGCTCTCTCCTGCTTATCCTTGTCCTGCATTGATGCTTTGGGAAAGTCCTGGTACTTTCTGAGTCTCGGGTTTCCTGCGGACCGAAAGAAGGCACTGAGCTGATTCTAAGAACCCTTCTATCTCTGACTTTCTTCAGTTTATAAAATTTAAGCTATTCTGCCACTTCTATTCATTGCTGATTTGTACCATTACAAGCTTCTAAGATATTGTGACAAGTCCTAAAATTCCCTGGAAATGAAAGGGACAATACTTGCGACCTTAGCAGCAGAGGTATGTTCTGCTCAGGAGGGCTAATTCCATTCTGCTAAGCCAAAGAAACCATAACCCAGAGGTTTCTGGGTTATGTCCCTGAGTAGGTGACACTTTGGTCCTGGCTATCTATACCACGCACACAGAGTTACTGAGGACATGGAATGTCACGACACTCTGGCGACTCTCTATACCACAGATGTGGGAGTCACATTATTTTTCAGTATGAGAAAGCATTCAGAAGATTCAGAAAGAGGAATGATCCAGATTCAAATTCAGAATGGGATTCAGAAAGGGAAAGGTTACTGGCCCATGATCACATAATATTAAGCGTCCAAAACTAAGACTTGAGTGCAAGACTTGTCAGATATTGTATTCATTGCATTTTTACTCCATTCTATTAGCTTCTCATGGAAACACAAGATAGTAGTATGAAGCAATTCTGGTCTTATAGGCAGCTACAGCCTCCATAAATGCCTTGAGGACATTTGAGAGAAGAGAAGGTGATAATGGACATCAATATGATAAGGCCCAATAAGTTGCACTTTAAGCTTTACCTTTGGAAAGATTACTTAGTTTTAGATTTATCTTTCCAGTTTTTATCTCTGGAGTTCAGAGAAGAATGTCGACTGAGCACGTATATTTGGGAGTATAGAACATCTCTGAGAAAGCTCACTACCATGGTCAAATTGATTGGTTACTTAGAAACAGGGTCCTTCTCGAATATCATGTGTGAACTTCATTTGAGGTTTTCCTAAGGTAAAATAATATAATGTGCACTTATTAGAGAAGCTCTCTTGGCAGATTTTCATCCCCTTGGGATAAAAGCAAACTTGAATCCAGTACATAAGTTGACAAATGGAGCAGTAAATAATTCCATTGTGCAAGTTGTTTTAATGGCCTCAAGCCAAAATGCTCCATTAGCCAACATGCATAGAATATTCATGAAGCTTAGCTTTATAGCCAAAAAAGAGCAAAGGAGAGTACAGGAAGATGATGAATATCAGTCTCCCAGCTGAGAAGATGAAGCCTTCCTAGGGAACTTTAGAGGCATGTACAATACTTTTCTTTTCCTCTGTCTTTTTCTTCCTTTTTTGTGAGGAGCAACAGATTAAGTACAAAAATGTTGAGTGTCTGCTTTGAAATACAATCATCAAAAATCTGCGAACTGGGCAGCAGATTGTGCCAGACTCTTTTCTTTCCTTGCCTTTGTAAGAACCAGCTCAGGGATCAGCCAGTTACGGAATAAGCTGCTCTATGTGTATAGATGAGACTGTGTCTATACACTTCTCTACATGGATAAACAATCAGGAACTACAATAGCATTCCCAAAGGAATCCTTCCTTAATACAGGAAGTGACAGCTTTGTGAAGCCACCACAATTAAGCTCTGGTTTTTCATTCCAGAAATCCTGGGATTTAATTTCTAGCAGAAATGAGACCTCTGTGATGCTTTGTGGGGCTGCTCAGAGTTCTGGACAACTTAGCTTTAAAGCTTGTTCAATGCAAGGCACCTGAGCTTGACTTAACCTCCAGATATCTCTGCTTTCAGAGACATCTAAACTCACAAAACTTAAGTTCTGATGGGCATCTCTAAAAGGAGGGGCCACAGAAATGAGTTTTGTAATTTAATGTAGCCACATTCCCCGGCTATGACTTTTCTCCCTTTACTTGTAAACTGATTTTCTCTTGCCTCGCACTTGGATTTGCCCTATGTCCGGATCTGGGCATCCTCCTTCATGTTGTGGATCAGGACTGTTACTCTGATGGGAACGGGTGGTCACAGTCTCTCTACCAACACCGATACGTCCATTGTCACAGCTCTACTGCATGGAATATGTGCAGAGAATAGAAGACCACGACACTGGGTCACTGAAGTCACTGAATGGAGAAGCTGGGATCTTGACCTGGTCGTCATCCATTTCAAGTGTCCTCCAACTTGGAAAGACCTTAGTCTTCTCAGTCAGTGCTCACATGTGTTTATTGTTTTGTAGAAACTGTCAGTTGAATGTCATGTTATCTGCTTGCTCTTTGAGATCATCTCCCACCCTGACTCCTGTCCTTATTCCATCTCTTTGACACCTCCCATTTTTTAACTCCTACCATCAGAATATCAGCATGAAGTCAACATCTACATTTCCAGCTCTTCCCACTAAGTACCAGACTCACATTTGCATCTGAAATTCTCAACAACACTTCAAACTCATTCTGTGAAAACAATGTAATCCTTTTCTTCTCGCTTCCTTAATTCCCCTGAACAATTTAACTAGATGAGTGGTAATCCTTGTATCTCAGCAGCAATATGAAATCTGATTGAAAAATTACCTCTTTTTCCACACGTTTTGTTTCAATCTGATGGAAATGGCTGCTAATGGAAAACTCTTTTTCTTAGGAGACCAGGAGAAGGCCTTAGGATCTACTGGGGGAGCTCAGAGGAGCAGTCCTTATTCTCACGCTGGAACCCGTGGTCCACTGAGGTTCCCTATGCGACCTTCACTGAGCATCCCATGATGTACACCAGTGAGAAGTTCCTCAGAATTTGCAAGGTAGGAGGCAGCTTATTACTCTTAGATTAACTGTGTTGGTGAATCCATGCGTTTCCAGAACATGAACCATTAAAAACTACAACCAGCACTTACATAGACAAACACTTGAATAGATTTATAAAACTTTTATAATAAGGAGTATAGCTATTTTTTATATGTGAATATATGTTGTATTTATATTAATCACAAAGTGTTATTTTCTCTCCCTCTTTAAAAATTGTGATACTTAGGCTTGTCTGATTGCATTTATTGCCAACAGGGTGCATATAAATTTTCCTATAAGTAAATCCTAATTATTTTGTTCTGGGAAGAAATGTGGGATAATGTAAAGCATGAGAGTGTGTGTAGGCAGAAATGGCTCTGTGGCCTAGTTTGATTAAGTCAGTTCTTTCTTTGGGCCTTGGTAGTCTCACCTCTAAAATGGACATGATGACCACTGCTTTCCCCTGGGATAACCCGACAGTGATTACTTCACAAAGTGTGGGGCATTATTATTATTTTGTATGTCTTCAATTCTCATCTTTTAAAGTAGATTTTAAACTCATCAGAGGCAGACACAGTCCCTTCTACTCTTTTTATTTACCCCAGGTATCTTGTTAGAGAGGAGACACTCTAGTCAGAAAGTAAAACAGGTGGATTTGAAAATGCAGCGAAAGATCAAATTTTATATTTCTACAACACCAAATATATACATAGGCTTATACTTACGTATACTTGTGTGTACTTATAGGCTTAAAAGGCTGATTTTTTTGTCCTTTTTATGTCTATCTTCTGTCATTCACGTCATATTATAACTCATTTGTTGTGTATAAATTCAAAACTCAGCAATCTGCATCCTGAAGTTTTTCTTTGATTGGATGGTATACATTGCATTTCTTACATTATTTTAAATACATCTATTCATACAAGCATAGGGGTTCATGTGTGTAAGCAAATAATTTTTATTTGATTAATCTATTTTAAAAATTATTTGAGTGGGCTGGGGATTTAACGTAGTGATGCCATGCCTGTCTCACAAGTGCAAGGTCCTGAGTTTGATCCCTGGTACCGGAAAAAAAAAAAAGAGTTTAAGCTGCCATTTTTGTGATTAGAGGCTAGATGAAGTCTTGATTTCCCCCCGAATACAGGTGAGGTTGGCTTGAATCTATTCTACTTCCAGGAAAAGTCAATGTTCTCTCAAAATTTATACAGATGTCCTTGGGGGCTTATGGAATCATGGTTTACCTCTGGATTTTAGCTATTGTACACACTAAAGGATTTCATAGATCATGTAGATGCTCTTATCTCACAGCCCTTCAATCAAAGCATCAACATCAGTTCCCACCCAAAGCCAACAAAACAAAACAAAATGCAAACCAAGAAGAACAATATAATGCTTACATAAAGGAATTTATGTAAGGCTAGACTAATTGAGAGTGTCAGGAGACAGAGTGAGAGTTTTTATTATACTAATGCCCCTAACTGCAAATGCCATATCAGATCTCCCTGTCTTTAAAAATCTTTATTAATACCAATGATATTCTGTCTCATCGTTCCATTATCCTCTCTGTTCTCATCTGCTTGTCCCTCCCCAAACTCTTGTTTTCTTAATTACTATTATTATTAATAATGCAGGAAGTTTACATTTCCTTTTTTGGCATCTATTAAATCCAAATCTAAGTGCTCAATCATGTATTTTTCCAAAGACATTGCCCTCTTTCAAAGGAAACCTGGTTTTTACTACTAAAATGATACATATTTTATGAAAATTTTATTTAATTTTGAAAATACTTTTATTTCATTATAAATCAAAAAAAAATTTACTGCCTTAATCATTATTATGTCCATGACTTCCTGGGCCAAATCTTTTGCTTGTTGTACCTGGTATATTAGGTATTAATTTCTTTGGTGTGCTTTGCTGGAGGAAGTTCAAGGTGAAAGAGTAAAGAACAAATTCTATGAACTTCAGAGAAATGTCACTGTCATATTCTAATACCTGGTAGTGCTTTGTTTTATTCTGTTATATATAAATACATTCACATAATTAAAAAAAGAAAATGGAAAGTAAAATATCAAAGGAGTATGGAATAACTAGTATCCATGTAATTTTGTACTTAGTACACCAGGCTTGTGTTTTGCCCTAGCAATCGCATTCTAAAAGGCTAAAGGGGAAATAATAGTCATATAACTTTTACTGAATGGAAGTAAGAAGAATAGTGTGTATGTGTGTGTGCGTGCACGCACGTGTGTGTTTGTGCACATGTGTGTGTGTATATGATAAATGATTGGTTGATTGGTTTTTAGTCAACTAAACCTCTGTGTGGATCTGTTAAGTGTGTTTCATTTAAGGCTTTTTCTTCTTAAATTATTAATCCAAAGTCATTTTCCTTCTTGGCAACAGTCTGGCTCCTCCATTTGCCAAGCTGATCCTTACTCAAAGGCCACTCCAAGCCCCAGCTCCTGGGAAAACAAATGATCTCCATCTGCGATAGGAGATGATGAGTGCTTTGATCCAGTTCTTTGAGTCCTACTTTCTCTTTGTTGTTGGTTTCTATGTCATGATGTTTTTGTATTTAGGGTATTTTCCAAGATGGGCTTTGATTAAGACTCAATTATATTGATATAAAATAATAAAGAAGAAAGACAATTTAGAGATTTAAAATTCCTTTTATGTGACTATTTGCACGGAACATAAGATTTTAAAAGGGTGTGATAAGTTGTTTTTTTCATTTCTCTTATGGATGAAATAGGAAAATAAAGGAATATTGAAGAGATGCGTAACAAAATCAAATTCCTACAGCAATGTAATTCAATTTAACAGCCTTATTGTACAACAGGGAAGAGAATAATGTGGAATTGAGTCATCCAATAGGAGAATTTTCAACTTATTTACAATGTAATGGAATAACTTATTATCAAAATACTCAAATTTATTTTTACCTAGAGTCTTTTCTTCTACAGCACCTAGAATCTCTTTATTCAAAAAACATTTTCTGACATCTACAAAATACAGGTATTATGATTGTTGCTAAGGATACCAACACAAATGAGAGAAAATTCTTGCCTTTGTTTGCAGTACTATTCAACAGAGGAGGCAGATAAAAACACAAAGATTTTGAAGTTGACTGAAACAGAAGTTTAGATAAAGTGGAAAGGAATGGAGATACATGAAAGTATATAATGTTTAAAGAGACAGTAATTCAGTTTAGCTGGATCTTAATCTTATAAAGCCCCCCACTATAATTACAACGACTTAGATAAGAGATATAAAAACCTAAACTAAGTTAAGAGCAATATTAGAGAAAGAATATAAGGAAATTCTGTATTACTTAGCATGGGATTAATGAAATCAGTTAATGACATTATGTGAAGGATTTGAGAGAAAAAGTCAAAGATGAAGTAATTTCTGGCTTGAGCAGATGGTAACTTCATTAGTTGGAATGGAAAAAACTGGAATAATAGTATATTTGAGAGTTTGGTTTAGATGAGTTTAGGATGTGTTAAGTTTGAAGCATTCATAGAATGTGGGCTTGAGTTGATTGTCAGGCAGTTAGAAATTTAGGTCTGAAATTTAGGAGAAAAAGCTGAGTTTCAGATCACAAACCAGCAGTTCTGGGCCTGGTTAGTCAGGAACATAACCAAGGAAGGGCCGTTAGTGGACACAGTTGCATTCAAATTCAAATGTATACCATCTCTAAGTCTGTTAACATTGATCTACATAATCAGTATCAAAGTTATATAGTATGAGGGCCAAATACATTATTTCTCTTTGTATTCATCACATCAAGTTTATGCTCCTTCCACATCTAGTAAACATGGTGGTCATTTGAGTTTGTTCCAAATAAACGAATCCCCTCGCCTAACCAACCTTTTCTAATCCATATGTATATATATACTTTGTGTTACTCATATAAAACAGATGTTACAATGCAAAATAATGAGGTTTATTGGACATTGATGTTACTATTACAAGACATAAAACATACTCTCATATGCTATTATATAATGGTACTTTATATTTGTTGATTGCAGTATGAATGATATTTTCATCTTACTCAAGTCACAGAAACTTTGTAGGAATAGAATAGCTATCTTCATTTTAAAAATTACAGTGGTTGGGATGGGGATTCAGGGGGTAAAGCTCAATTATAGAGTACATGCTTAGCATGTTTAATGCCTAGGGTTTGATCCCCAGCACCGAAAACAAATGTGAGGATGCAATCAGAGAGACGAAGTGAGTGGACTGATATCGTACTGTAATACTGAGTTTTCCCAAAAATAAGACCTAGCTGAAAATAATCAGCCTTGAAAGCTAGAGATCAAAAATACCAGCCCCAATCAGCCTATCCTTGCCTTACTGCATTACAGAGTGGCCACTGAGCAAAAGAATCGTGCTGGCATCCACATCCACATGCGATTTGCTATCACTCGGGGAAATGGGCATAAACCAAAATGAATTCTTTGTCTCTGTCTCCGTCTCTCTGTCTCTGTCTGTCTGTCTCTCTCTTCTCTCTGCCTCTCTCTCATTCTGTTTGTGTGTGTGAGAGATTGTGTATTCATATCCATTGTTGTGATAATAAATAACATATTATATATGTCAGTCTATCTCAGTTCTCCTTAATTCTCTCAACCATTTTGTATTTGCAATTTTTAGTCCCATCTTCATCTTTTTTAATCATCACTTCTCTTGAGTTTTAGAATATGGGAAATTTACTGCTAGGAATAATGAGTGACCTGAGCCCCAAGCTGGTGAATAATGGTGAAGGGATTAGGGATGTTTTATAGAAAATCAAGGTACTCCACAGAGCGACTTTTACCAATTTTCTCAAGGGATCTTGACAGTGGATCCATGAATTAGAATTCAAATTGACCTTTATTTTACATCCTTAGATCCTTGGTTTCCCTTCACATTCCTTGAGTACTTCTCTGGATTGAATACTATGTGATGAGCAATGTTCTAGGAACCTGAGATATAAGAAGTAGAAAGTAGATTTTGCCTTCCAGACACTTGTGGTATAAAG